CTAGACAATCGTGCCCGGAAGTTGACGTGTCATCCAGGGCGCATGAGGGCGCAATGAGACTTACCCCGTTCCCAATTCCAGGGCGCATGGGGGCGCAATGAGACTTAATGAGTTAATAACTACCACTCGCATACAAACCAATAGAAACAACAGTTACTGTATCGGAAACAGGTAATTTTCTTATTCACATGTGTTATTGTTACTTAACTGCATTTATAGTAGATTTACCTGAGCAATAATAATATAATATTGCTTTCAAAAACAGCGTGAAAGTGAAGAATTTTAAGTTTTAATAAGTTTATGCTGCTTTGAAGGTCAGCAGTCGTATTTTGTTCACATAGTTTTAAAAATTTGATCATGATCGACATATTTCCAGCTTGTCGCAGTGAAGTAGCACTGAGATTGCAGAAAGTTCAGGCTGTTTACACTAGCAATTTTATGTTTCCATCATGTCATGTCAGCAAATGGCATTTTAATTAAGGCATTTTGAAGTGTTTTTCGGTATATGAGCATTCTATATTAGTATTTATGTACGTAAATATGTACACCAATGCAGGATTGTGGGACGTAGTTAAGGATTGTAATGATGAGCTCTCTTCTGCGCATGATAAGAATAAATGGTCCAGCTGTGTATATAGCATAATTTGAGAATAATTCACACATAAGTGCACAAAACTTACATCAAGTTGACAAGCCCTTTGCTTGTATATAAAGTCTGACGTCCGTACGTTTGTGGTAATAAACTTGAGCTGGGTGGATAAATTAAAATCAAGACTGCGATACTAATATTCAAGAACATTGTAAGGTAAAGTTAACTTATCATTTATTTCCACAGAGTAATGAGTGTATTCAGAATCCTTCGTGGGATTGCAATAGTTGATATGATATAGATTGGACGTGGAGCAATATAAAATATAAACATGATGCTGTGTTGAAGAACTTGAAGGAATGCTTGATTAAACGCTAGGATTTTTATTAGGCGCAGAGATTATCGTGTTATGTAAACTGTAAAGTGGTATCAAGTAAAATGTGTTGACAAACTCGAATATAAAGTCAAACCAGCTAAAACATTGTTTTCCAGTGGCGTAGCTAGCTGTCCCGTCCGGCGGGACTAAGAATTTCCAAAAGAATAACAAAATGTAATATAGTGAAACCAAAATCACAACTTTGCTTATTTTGAAAATTTAAAGATTTATTATCATAGTTTTTTTAATGCTTTCAAGCCTTTCACTTGTTTATTTGAATATCACGCAATGATGCTGCTTAGCTGTCTGCTCTTTGACCTTTTTGTTGCCTAGCAACTAATTTCCACGCAGTTTATTGCTTACTCACACAATTCGTGTAGTTGCATATCTCGTGTTCCACTGATTTTCATATGGCGGAATATGCAATACTATCTTATACAAGAAATTCTGGTTGGATAATTGGCGCAGCGCATGCCCAGAACGGTTGTTTTTAATGCCGAAGTCCCGCTATTTTATAAAGCCGGAGGTTGTTAATATTCAACCTTTCGCAAGAAGCTTTCTGCGCGAGTACTCACAACTTATTACGTAGGTTATTATCATATTATTCATATCATATTTGATATTTGCTTTTGTGATTTGTATACAATGGCTTCAACGAGCGTGACGAATCCTGTGAGTGTTGCTATTCAACTATGTGAAGCAGATATTGCAAATGTTTTGTTGATAAGGCCTTTCTCTGTTTGACCAACTGCCGAACAAAATGTTATTGTTAACGAGCGACCAACTCCGAATTTAACGATCAAGAATAAGGGTAGGTCGTTCATGAAGGAGTGGTATTGTAAAAAGGATTGGCTTTGTGGCAGCTCTATTTTAGAAAAATTGTTTTGTTGGCCTTGTCTTTTGTTTTGTCCGGGAACTTCACCTACGTGGACAAAGACTGGCTACACCGACATGAGAAGCTTGATGTCTGATGGGAAGAAACATGAGAGGACAAGGTCGCACTTAGCTGCTTTTAAAATGTGGAAGACGTATGGAGTGAATGTGCGAGTGGATTCTCTTCTTTCACAAGCAAGAAGAGATGAAATTCAACGTCACAATGAAGAGGTAAGGCAAAACCGTGAAATTTTAAAAACAGTTACTGAAGCAGTATTATATTTGTCTAAGCAGGAGTTGGCATTCAGAGGTCATGACGAATCAGAAGACAGCTTGAATAAAGGTAATTATAGAGAGTTGCTCGAGTCTTTTGCCAAGTTTGATTCTGTATTTGAACGAAGATTACATGGTAGATTGGCTGAGTCTGAAAGGGGTGGGGGTGGACGTTTTACTGGGGTTTCTCCTGAAATTCAAAATGATTTAATTAATTGTCTTGATTCCGTTATTGATGATGAAATTTTGAAGGAGATCAATGATTGTACTTTTATGAGTGTGCAGGTTGATGAGGCATCTGATGTTTCCACCAAAGAGCAGGTAAGTATGATTGTCCGTTTAGATAAAGACAATGAAATTGTCGAAAGACAATTGGGACTTGTGGATGTCAGTATGAATAGGAATGCTGCTGCAATATCTCAAGTTGTCAAAGATAAACTTGGTCAGTATTCTAACATCAAGGAGAAACTAATTATGCAAACGTATGATGGTGCTTCTGTCATGTCTGGCCACATTAATGGTGTTCAAACTTTGGTTCGTCGAGAGTATCCTTTTGCTCAATTTGTCCATTGTGCAGCTCACAGGTTAAATCTTGTTTTGTGCCAGTCTGCTTCATCTATTGCTCCTGTCAAAATTTTCTTTATTAATACAAGTGCCTTTAGTACTTTTACAAGTAATGCTCCTAGAAGAAAGGCATTTCTGACATCTCATAATCTTGAGTTTCCCAACCCTGGTGATACTAGGTGGTACTATCGAGCCCGTGTTATTAATGTTTTATATAAAAATTATGATAAACTTTTAGAGGTTTTTGATGAAGTAACTGTGCAACCTGATGGTTGGGATGATGAATCATTGGATAAGGTTAGTGGTTTACTGCACTATCTTAATAGCTTCCTTTTCTGTTTTTTGGTATGTGTTTTTTACAAGATTTTAGAGCAGTCTTCTATTCTGTATTCAGTGCTTCAAAATACAGGTACAGACTTCAGCTATGGCATAAGCAAGATTGAACGTTTCAAGAACTTTGCTTCTGCTCTTCGCACTGATGAAGATTTTGATAAATTTTATCAAGAAGCAGTAGACAAAGTTGGCCAACCTGTTAGCAGGATTGACAAGGGGCACAACTACAAACAACTTTATTTTGAGATAATTGATTCTATTGTAGGAATGTTAAGTGAGAGATTCCAGGATATGAAACGATTTGAATTTTTAGATCTTGTAAATCCAAAGGTATTTTCAACGTGGAATGGGGTTGCACCTCCTGAGAAATTCAACATTCTCAAAGAAATGTATGGAACCCTTTTTGATCTCCCAACACTTCAGAGCCAACTTACTTTTATTTACAATGACAAGGATTTTCACAAAGAGTCTAGTAATGAAGTACTAAAATATATATTTCAATTTAATCTCCAATCTAGTTTACCAGAAGCTGTGAAGTTACTGAAAATGAATGGAGTCTTGGCTTTGTCGAGTGCTTCGGTTGAACGATCATTCTCTTGTTTGAAAAGGGTGAAAGGATATTTAAGGAACAGAATGGGTCAGGCTCGGCTCAGTTCTCTTTGTAGGATTTCCATTCACAAAGACATTATAAAACTTAAGGAAGATACCAATGTCTTGCATGATGAAGTTGTTAAGAAGTTTGTTGAAAAACCTAGGAGACTTGCCTTTCTTTATAAATGATACTAACAGTGTTTTATTTTTATTTTGGTTCAGGGAAGGTAAGTATCTTTGTCTGTTTTCATGAATTCTTGAATGATTTCCTTTTTCAGGTCTGTCTGGTAATAAATAGTATAAGGTATATAACAGCACATTTAAATTTCTGGGGAGATACCCACAGTAGTGGTGACCCCATTTAACTAAGGCATACAACTGCACATTTAAATTTCTGGGGAGATACCCACAGTAGTGGTGACCCCATTTAACTTAGGCATACAACTGCACATTTATATTTCTGGGGAGATACCCACAGTAGTGGTGACCCCATTTAACTTAGGCATACAACTGCACATTTATATTTCTGGGGAGATATCCACAGTAGTGGTGACCCCATTTAACTTAGGCATACAACTGCACATTTATATTTCTGGGGAAATACCCACAGTAGTGGTGACCCCATTTAACTTAGGCATAGAACTGCACATTTATATTTCTGGGGAGATACCCACAGTAGTGGTGACCTCATTTTATGCATTTTTTCCCCTCATACTGATCTTTACATTTTTTCTGTGTTTTCTACGTATGACGTTTATTTGATATACTTTCACCTTTGCGCTGTTGAATTTATGGGCAATTCATTCACACATGACCTCATCGATTTTTTACTCGTTTTCACATTTCAGTAAATAAATGCAGGTTGCAGCATTGTGGAAAACTCGTTAGTTTCTTCTTTACTTTTATTATTCTCAATACTTATTCTGGCCGTGATGAGCATTGCGAAAAACTCGTTATAGTTTCTTTTTACTTTTATTATTATCAATACTTATTCGGGCCATGATGAGTGTTTCGTTGTGCTGCAGAGGCAATATTTTTGCCTAACACCGCACTTCTCTGAGCCCACACAGATCTTCTCTGAGCCAGATTGCATTTTTTGTATTTCATCAAGGCAAAATACTCCCTTCAGAGGTGTATTGAAACTTTGTATAGTGACATTATTCCTCCCTCGAAATCGCAGGAAATGCCATTTGCGTGGTCCTAGATTTCAAAATTTTCTCGGGGGGGCATGCCCCCGAAACCCCCTAGGGGAGTCGCACCTTCGGTGCGACTGTCCCACCTTCGGCGGGACGATTATTTTTCCCTAGCTACGCCACTGTCAATGGCATAACCATCCAAATTGAATGGTTATGCCGAAGACAGTCAATGGCATAACCATCCAAGTTGAATTGTTATGCCGAAGACAGTCAACGGCATAACCTTCCAAGTTGAATGGTTATGCCGAAGACAATCAACGCCATAAACATCTCAGTTGAATGGTTATGCCGCAGTCAGTCAACGGCATAACCATCTAAGTTGAATGTTTATGCCGAACAAATTCAACGCGATAAACATCTAAGTTGAATGTTTATGCTGAAAATATTCAACGCCATAAACATCTAAGTAGATTGTTTATGCCGAACATATTCAACGCCATAAACATCTAAGTTGAATGTTTGTGGAATGAGATCACTAGTTCAGCTATGATCAATTCGCTATGTTCACGAACACGTGGTACGGTGGTAGAAACTAAAGACGTCAAATCAGTACTGGATCGAATCTCGCCCAAGAAATTTTTTATATTTTAGCACCAAGAAATATTTGGAAATAATTTTTTTTTTCTCCAAAACTATTTTGTCAGGATGAAAACAAAAGGTATATTCCCAACTATTTTACCCAAATGTTTATGGCGAACATACTCAACGCACTAAACATCCAAGTTAAATCGTTATGCAGAACAAAGTCAACGGCATAAGCATCCAATTTCCAACATCCTCAACGCACATGGTTATGCCCAAGGCCGTCAACGGCATGACCATCAAAGTTGAATGTTTATGCCGAACATATTCATCGGCTTAAACATCTAAGTTGAATGTTTATGCCGAACATATTCAACGCCATAAACATCGAGGTTGAATGGTTATACCGAACGGAGTCAATGTCATAACCATCCAAGTTGAATGGTTATGCCGAAGACAGTCAACGGCATAACCATCCAAGTTGTATGGTCATGCCGAAGACAGTCAACGGCATAAGCATCCATGTTGAGTGGTTATGCCGAAGACAATCAACGGCATAATCATCCAAGTTGAGTGCTTATGCCGAAGACAGTCAACGGTATAACCATCCACGTTGAATGGTAATGCCGAAGACAGTAAACGGCATAACCATCCAATTTGAGTGGTTATGCCGGAGACAGTCAACGGCATAACCACCAAGTTGAACGTTTATGGCGAACATATTCAACGGCATATAAACATCTAAGTTGAATGTTTATGCCGAACGTATTCAACGGCATAAACATCGAAGTTGAATGTTTATGCCGAACAAATTCAACGCCATAAACATCTAAGTTGAATGTTTATGCTGAAAATATTCAACGGCATAAGCATCTAAGTAGATTCATGTTTCGCTCGCTACTCTGGTTTAAATAAATGATTACAAAGCCCAGTCGAATTGTAATCAAGACCCAACGTTTCGACACTCCAGTCTAGTGTCTTCATCAGGGGTGATCTAAAACTGCGATCGTGGCTTCTTAAATACCCAAGGGATGACGTCACCTGCCAAGAAGATGCATATATTCCTCTGGCAAATAGGCACCGTTATCCCTATTCAAAGCATGATGACTCATATTTATATGCCACGCTTCTAGGCAAAGTCTTTGGCCATAGCGATTGTTTGTGGTAATTACTTTAGAGTTTTCCCACGCAATCTCGTGTTTGGTATAACATACATGTTCGGCTAAAGCTGATTTTCCCTTGTCTAAAGTTGAAACAGCCTTTTGATGTTCTTTTAGCCGTGTACCAAACTGGCGTTTAGACTGACCCAAATACTCTCTGTCGCAGTCACCGCATGGTATAGAATATATAGCATGCGTCTTCTGATTTGTTTCAACAGGATCTTTTGGCTTTGCGAAAATATGGCCTAAAGTCAAATAGGGTTTTAAGGCAACCTTAATATTACAACTAGGCGTAACCACAGGTTAAAAAGTGCGACCTGGAGACTTTAGTCACTAATGACAACGCGCCGGCTCACGCTGTTTTGGCCAGATATAGTTGGTGATCATCCTTTACTTTTGCCAAAAGTCGGTCGGTCGGTCGGTCGGTCGGTCGGGTTTTTTTATTTTTTATATAACGATTTGCGTCAAATAAACATGCACATAACAAGGTACTTTATTTCATATTATCTATTGATATATTCAAAACAGTAACAACTTTTCAAGTTTATGCAAAGGAGTGGCGATAATATATGGGCCAATATTGCTCATTATATAATAAAAGTCAGCCCATTTACACTGATCCAATTTAGATAAATTTTTCAAAATATTAACTTGACTGATTGGTATCCAATTACGTCACTTGCTACAAATTACATAACAAATAGTAATACATTTGTGATTATATTGTCGCTAGTGCTACGGCGCAAAGTCGCCTTCTATGAATAGCATGACGTGTCAACAACAATACCGATTGACAACGCGCAATTTAAAGATAAATATTAAAGCCCGGCACATGACTTTCAAACAACAGACGTTTCTTTGTATACATCACAACATCCTCATGCACAGCATTTAATCTTTTTGATTATTTAAATCTGTCTTCAATAACAGACTTACAACAGTTAGTAGATGCTAAGTTAAGCTTCATTTGATGTACAATTTGATGAACAAAAGTTAAAGGTACATGTATAAAATTGCATCAGTATCGATGAGTAAATAAAGAGCAATAAAACACTGGGCGGAAATACCGTTCCATGCGGTCTTCCAAATATGGAAATATGTTCCAAATATGGAATGCAAGCCGAGGTGAATCGGTGAATCTTGAGCCGGGGCTAATCCGAACTCAGCGGTATATTTAAATTTTCTACGCACAGACACAGATTAGGATGCTCCCAGCTCGCTCGCTGGTGCTCGCTCGCTGGTCGCAATTACTTAAGATTCTCTTGATTGGTTCTGTGACATCTTGAATGTTTGGAACTATTGCAAAACCCTTAACAGAGGTATCACCCTCGGAGTTATTTTGGTTCCTACAAACAGGTGGTCTCAGGCAATCATTAAGAAAACGCTTTGGGTAATTGTTTTCCCCTAAAACATTTAGAACATATTCACGTTCATTAGCTTGAGAATCACTGTTTGACGGCAACGATTCAGCTCTTTGAAGCAAATTTTTTGCTACGGATCTTTTATGGCTTACTGGGTGATGAGAGTCGTATGACAAGTATTTGTCTGTGTGTGTGGGTTTGCGATAAACATCAGTCTCTAACTTTCCTTCGACAGTTCTGCGCACATTCACACTGCAAAAAATCCTTGCGTAAAATCAACTCAAATATTTGAGTAAAAAAATGCATTCACAGTGACACACAAAGTTTGAGTAAAAATAACTCAAATTTCTGAGTAAAACAAAATGCATTCACAGTGACACCTAAAACGTGAGTAAAGTGCGACTTTTACTCACTGTGAGTAAACTGCCGGTTCTACGCAAACAATGAATAAAATTTTACTCAAATTTCTGAGTAAAACAAAATGCATTCACAGTGACATCTAAAACGTGAGTAAAATGCGATTTTTACTCACAGTGAGTAAACTGCAGGTTTTACGCAAAACAATGAGTAAACTTTTACTCAAGTTTCTGAGTAAACCAAAATCCATTCCCAGTGACACCTAAAACGTGAGTAAAGTGCGATATTTACTCACAGTGAGTAAAAGAAGTGCCTTACTCAAAACAATGAGTACAAAACTACGCAAATCTCTGAATAAAACAATAACGTTAAAATTTTAAACATTCTCCTTTTTCTCAGCAAGCTGAGTACCTTTTTACTCATTGTTCCGAGTAAGGCCATGACTGAAACAAATAATATAAAGTCAGATACTTTATAGTTATTTCAACACAACTGTGTCTGTGAAAATAATATATTTTACCAATATATAGAACAAATGATATTAGCATATACAGTAGTAACAAACAAAGTGATTTTGACCTACAATACATGCATGCATGGTTGTACGCACTCCGTTCAGAGTAAAGATGCAACATTCGAACCAAACTGATGCAAATACTACAATGAGCTATATACGATACCTACTGTATATACAGTACATGAGCAATTGCCCTCTCCTACTGAGTTCAGATTTTATTCAGTTCATATTACTAGTAGCTATATGTCATTCCTATAATTTCATTAATTGACCTCCTCTCGAAAAGAGAATGTGAGTTCATGCCATCAGTTCCACAATTCCACCCTTGACTCGAAAATGTACCAGCAAGTCAGCGACAATAAAGATTTGAGAAATTGCATTCAACGGTCGCCAGACAACCATTACAAGAAGTGGCAATTCTTTTGGGTCTTTGCTTGACACGAAACTGTCTACCGTACATCTTAACTTTCCTACATAAATAATTTTAAGGAACATATAATTAGAAATTAATATTGCAGAGTTAACTACATTATCCCTTAATTCAGCCCCCGGTTTGGGTGTGCTCTAACATAATACTTATAATACATGGTTATTATTTGAGTAAGGAAATGCCAAAACCACATATAGTATAATGTACAATAAACAATATAGTATACTATATAAAATAATAAATAAAATTAATACACACTGAGTTAGACTGAATAATATTCTTTCCAATTTCCAGGTTAATGTTTCATATGAGTTTTTATACTTTTAATCATTTCTAAAACACTTAAATATTTTTACATTATTCATATATGTAATCATCCCCAATTAATCAGCCACCATGCAAATCAGCCACCAAAGAGGGGTGCCAGCGAAAGGCAGCTTTGTCACCACACTTGCACAGCAACACCAGAGTGCAAAAGTATAGACATATATTGAAGGTTAATGAATCATAAATTCAAAAAAACTTTCATTTTTTTTATGTCATGCACATATATATATATATATACATATATTTACATGCATGAACACCCGGCGAACTTTGTATCTGTCACTTGTGAAGTCCCAGTTGTTGTATGCTTCGGAGGTGTGGTCACCGGTTAACAACGTTCAGCTATCAAGACAAGTAGAGAAAGTCCAACGGAGGGCAACCATGCAAGTGGATACTATTGAACAGAGAGATGCCTTACAAAGAACGGCTGTCGTCGTTAAACCTGCTATACCATTAAGTTACGATAGAGAAATGAAGGACTTAGCATTCTTTTATAAAGCTTTATTTGGTTTTCTAAACGTGAACTTAAGTAACTATATGTGTCGTTTGTCAGCCATGGTCGTATACTCGATTGAGTCTTTCCTCTCATGAGTATATCCTTCAAAACCCACTGTGTAAAACTACCACTTTTCAATCCTCCTACTACAACCGCATTGTCAATATCTGGAACACTGTATCTCAAGAAGTATCTCTTGACAGTTTCTCTAGACCTAGTTCCTTTAAATGCTATCTCAAGCACAAACATCCAATCTTAGTTAACTCTCTTTACGACGCATGCAGACGTGTCTTGCACGTGGTCTTTGACTCGGGACTGTCCTTGCCACAGGTCCTAACTGTTTATTAACATTATGTAATAATAAACGTTTAACTTAATTTAATAATAATACCATTATATAATATATAATATAAACATAGCACAGCATAATATAGTTTGTAAACCTTGAGCGGGTGCATTTACGATTTGTACCAGCCGCTTCCGCAGTTCGTTCATTAAATAGGAATACAATGCATTGTGGTAAGCAACTGGGGGATTTACTAACCCTCGATTTTTATGAGGCGTATGCACCTCCCGAGGTTTACTAGAACAGTATAGATTTTCAATTAGAACAGTAAATTCTTACTAAGTTTGGGCAGGTGCCTTGCATGGTTCTTCGAGTCCCGTTTGCGCCTCGCCCATTTAGGGTCTCCGAATAATTTACTATATAATTAGACTTTGTACATATACTGTAGTGGACCCTAATAAAGATAATAAAAATAATAATAATATATGTCTATATACAAGTCCCCAATATCAGGCGGCCAATTTGTTAATCAGCCACCAAAGAGGGATGCCAGCGAAAGGCGGCTTGTCGCCACACTTGCACAGCAACACCAGAGTGCAAAAGTATAGACATATATGTTGTTCAAAACTGGAGAATATATAATTCTTTCAAATTGCCAGGTTAATTAATCATTTCCAAAAAACTTTCATTTTCTTAATGTCTGCATGCACATATATGTTTAATATACAAGTCGCCAATATCAGGCGGCCAATTTGTTAATCAGCCACCAAAGAGGGATGCCGGCGAAAGGCGGCTTGTCGCCACGCTTGCACAGCAACACCAGAGTGCAAAAGTATAGACATATATGTTGTTCAAAACTGGAGAATATATAATTCTTTCAAATTGCCAGGTTAATTAAACATCTCCAAAAAACTTTCATTTTTTTAATGTCATGCACTTATATGTCTATATACAAGTCAACCTCATACCCAGGGCCTTTGCGCGGTCCAGAGGCTCTGGTACGGGAAGCAAAGGCCCTGGTAAACACTGGTCACGTGTGTCCAAAAAATATTGGACATTTGGTAATAATTTAGTTTTCAATCCGGGGGGAGCGGAGCCGAGTGATTTTGTCAAACATGGCAGCGCGAAGGCGCGACGTTTTCGAGTTTTATTATTTTACGACAAGTAAAACTTTGAAAACTTTCCTAGTGATATTTAAAGTGGGTATATATTAAAACTATGCATTCTGCGAGCTTTCTTTAAACAAATTGTGGAATAGCGAACGGTAATACTTATCAAAGATCGAGGATCAAACTGAGAGAAAACTAGTCGAGTGTCTGACGAGTCTTATATTAAATAAACTGTCTATTTTGTATCCATGCAGCTGCTTGTGTGCGACGTTTTATAAAGAATTAAACGAACATTGTTGATTAATAATGATTCATATAAGTATTTTTTACGTATTGACCAAAGAATATCACTTGGGATTTTATTGTACTTTCATGGAAGGATAGATATACTCAGTATGTGCCTGTATACAGTGAAAGGGACATATAACTCTTCATGAGTTCATGTGTAAACATGTAGTTATCAAAGCAGAAGATTTTGACAGTGACAGGTTGGTTTCCGTATGTATGTAGTTTAATTAAAATACAGTTGTGAATGAAATTATACACAGTATGACTGTCTTGAAACCTTTGTGTGTGAGTTAATTTCATATTTATTTTTTTGGGATGTTTATTTCTCATTGTCTGGAAGAAGGGGGTAATGGGGGGGGTACCAAACATGAGAAATAATATCCAGTGATCTTGAAATAGGAAAAATTATAGAAGGAAGTCCTGAAGGACATGTATAAAGTAACAAATTTATTAGGAATCTGATATATAAATGTAAGTAAAAACCAGACTAGGAGTCTAAAGGCAAATAACAGTCTGTACTGGGTGTGCGTTCACCTATTTGTTTACATTTGCAGTTACATTGGTTCATGATTTATGAAATTTGATAATTTTAGTCATGGCATCAAGTCACTAATAATTTTAGGGTAAATATTTTTTCTGAGATACTTCATTTGTCAGTTGCGTCTTACAGTATATAATAAATATCTTGGAAAAAAGGTGTAATTGTACACTGTCTAGTAGCTTTGGTTCAATACAATTGGCAACATCAGCAACTGGGCTGTTTTAGAATTCATTAAAGACCTTTGCTACAACCCCAAGAAAACATACCTTGTATCAGGAGATTAAATTCTCTGCTTCAACCAGATTAACCACACAAATGTTATTGTTACCATTGTGACTGCTACCCTTTTTCCCCATAATACACTCAGTCTGATAGTTGAGCACCGAGATTGACATATCATACTGTGTTTTCAAATATCTTTGGCTCATAATTTCCATAATGATGGTCCATTATTCCACTTACTGAGAATACTATATAATTACTTCTTTCCCATAAAAATTATTTTGGGTTTAATTCAAGTATTATTATTCACAGCTGGTCTAGAAAATTAGGACTAATATTGGGTGTTTTGATGCATCATACCTTTATCAGTAATGTCACTCTGTAATTTATGTCAGTAATTTCTTAGGGAAATTAAAAACCTATTCAGTCCTATCTACTATGCAGAGTTTTATTTGTATTGAGGAGGTAGGGCTTAACAGAGAGACACAGAGGCTTAATAAATATGGTTACACTGAATTTTATCAGAAAGTAAATTTCATTTTTTACATCCCGAAACAAAAGATCACCATATTATGCATGAATTATATGTCACTTTCACTTGTCACAGAGTGAACATACCAAATTCAAACAAAAATTCACAGGCTGTTTCTAGTAGATGAAATAACCAACCGATTTTTTGTGCAAACAATATAATTCATGAGGGGGGGAAATGAATATTTATATGTGTGCACATAGTTTCAAGACCAGATAGTGGGGTTGAAACCAACTTTCCCAGTTATGATTGGAGCTGATGAGAACACAACCTTAGCTTTGAACACAAAATGGCATGGAACTTCATCTAGGTGGCAATATATTGGCATTCACCCAGACCATGGCAATATCACACAATATACAGAATGCACCCATGCAGGTTCTGCCTTCTCACCAGCACAGTTGATCAAGTCATACACATTCATAACTGCCAATCTCTTTATTATCTATGTCTCATTACAATAGACAACTTGCATGTTAGACAAATTTTTTATCTAACCGATCTAGGTTGCGAAATGTTGTAAAGCTTGGAAAATATAGCCTTGCAAAGTTTGCATATTTTCAGTATATTTGTATTACGTGCGGAAATTGTTACCATTTTTGAGCCGAAAATGGTAACAATTTTCGCTCGTAATACAAATATACTGAAAATATGCAAACTTTGCAAGGCTGTATTTTCCAAGCTTTACAACATTTCGCAGCCAAATTTTGCACTTTTACTAATTTCAGTATGTTCTTTTTAGCTGTGGTTTTTGATTCCCTTTTCTATGCTTAGATTAAAATTTAGTCTAACATGCAAGTTGTCCATTGGTATGTGCAATATATTTTCATTATCAGCAGTATCATTGCAACTTGTGCATCAACAGTATCATCACAACTTGTATTTCACTAGCATCATCATCATTAATATAATGATTCATTATTCTCGTCATTCTAATTTTATTTAATTATAGTGAATCACAATGAATCAAAAATTTCCTATCACACCACTCATATTACTTAATTGCCCAAGGTTAAGGCCATTTCACAGCACTCCAGGATCTGAATACCTGCAACCACCTTTTCGATCTTATTCTAAAACAGAAACAACCGACAAATGTCTTACTGGAATATCATTGCCATAAAAGGACTGTCATTTGAAACCACATTTTGCTGTATTAGTAACAGCACAACTGCTCAAGGTCGCAACTAAGGTAAATAATAGGGATGTAGTATATTGTTAATACTGTTTACTGGTAATTGTCTTTTTACATTTTGCTCACAACCAAAGTACAATTGTATGGAGCAAGTATAGAATATCCAGCCACTTTTTATTATTCACTTAACCTTTACCCTTGACAAGTAAAATTGTCTGGTGTTGGACAGAGAAAAATAACAAAGTATGCCATATTTGATTATCTCATTGGTGTGCAAGACTCGTCTTTGGATGGGAAAAATACTAAAATTGGGGGATATGGAGATTTTATGGCAAGAGGTAGGGGAACATTTTCTCCAGTAGAATGTATGTTGGCCATTGGAATTTTTTAAAATTAAACATCAAAATCATAAACCAGAGTATTGAGGCGATAAAGAAAAGAATACCTGACTGTAAAATTGAAGCAATCTAATTTTCTTGTCACATACAGAAAGTTAGGTACCTGGTAAGGTTGGCATTTTCACACTTTTCTATTATCATCGTACTATTCTGTTAAGTTTTTATTGGATGAGTCAGAGACCAATGGTTGGAATGAGGGCAGTTATTTTGTATAATTCTTGCATGTATTCATTTATTAACTTTTGACTATACTGTAATAGTCAGCCATTTAAATATTTTACTGAGGGTACAGCTTGACGATTTTACATGTCAAAGAGAACTCCAGTTAGGAAAGACTGAATATTTTCTGACTAATTCTGAGCAAGCTGGAACAAGATTTTGATTTTAGTGAAGGATGCAGATAACAAAAAAAATATCTGGAATGAACTCAATGAAGGAGGGTTTATATCCAAAAGCGAAAGATGGAGGAAAAATTAGACGAAGAAAACTAATTATACAAACAGAGCCACGAATCTGCTGGAATTTAGGATACATAAACTGATAAATATATGAAAATATTAAATTTTTATATCAAAAAATCGTAC